AAGGACCCCCAATAAGGTACCCCCCTCACATCCCCGACACGCGGCGACCCGGAAGACTTCTTCCGGGCAACTCACCCCTTCGCTTCAAGCACTCACTACTTGCAGCGCATCCCTCAACCGAGAAGATCCCAGAAAATGCCCCCCCCCTCCGCTTGCCCAGCGCATTTTCTCTTGAACCTACCTTGAGCAGGATTCATCGTCGCAGCCTCTGTGAGGCTTCAGTCGCAGACCCACACAAACGCCAGCCGGAGTGCACCAATTGAAATCATGCTGTCTCAAAAAGTGCATTCTTTCCCTGGCTGCCACTTTGTCACACCTCGCTTTTGTGGCGTGCTGGCTATCCCCAGAACCTCAAGGAGGCATCTCACTTCCCGTGGCGTCGGAGGTGCAGCAAAGAGGAGAAGTGGGCAAAAAGCAGCTTCGTCGGCAGTGCTTGCGCTGCCTTCGAGAGCAGTTGAGACAACTCTCTGCTCTTCTAGCTGCAGCATTATCATCCTCGACAACCTAAGTAAGATGGAAGCTGTTCAAAAAGCCAGTATGGTTTCGACTGATACCTTGCTCATGGAAGAATGCGCATAGGACTTACGATGTTGCTCGCAGGATGACGATTGTGTTTGCGTTCCTTTTGGACAGCTCCCACGGAGTGCAAGGCTTAACCCCACACTATCCGAAAGCCAACGGAACAAGCGCTTGGAGTCGGCGACAGATTGCGACACGATCTTGGCCTCCAGCCACTTCTACGCCCGCAAAGGGTTTCGTGTCTAGAGCCTCTGGGGCCTGTAGGGCCTTGGGTTTAGGGTTTAGGGTTTAGGGTTTAGGGTTCAAGTACTACTGGCCAAAGCTAAAGCTGGAGGCTCAGGTTCTTAAAATCGAAAGGCTCAGCAAGATGCCTCGGGTCTGATGCACATCAACTGCCAAATTTACCTAGTACCTAATTCACCGCGGTCGCTGTATCTGCAACAGGCACAGATCTCACGACTGGATCTCGGATTTGGTGGCTTGGTGGTCCTAGCATTTCCTGCAAAGCTGCAATCTTGCCAGCCCTCAAGAGCGCACGACTTCTGCTTCGCATTTCTGGTTGTCGGGTGGCTGGGCAGCCCCAACCATCGGAGGATGGCTCTGCCGGATTGGGTGAATAGAGCGGAACCCTTTAAGTCAAACCTCAGCCGGCCCTCCGTGCGTTTCAGAACATATCGACACTTGAAAGCAGCACCAGGAAAGGGAGTCGGCTCGGGTATGAAACGGCTCCTAGCCCTCTTGTGCTCCCGTGCTTGGCAGGGAGGGATGCATGTGGGTAGCCGTCGACTTCTGGTTTTTTTCGATGCTCTTTACAGTGACCAACATAGAACGGATAACATGGGGTACAGATTTCTGCCACTTTTGGTCGTGTGGGAGTTTTCGACTTCTGCCTGACTGATGGCATCTACCCACATAGCGGGGCCTCAGAAAAACGTGGCACTGCCTCTTCACGAACAATTCGCCTCTCCTGCTGATGGGTACAGACCCAGCAGCGGAGCCTAAGGCATAAGACATTGATTGATGGGAAAATGCAATGGAGCCCCGGACAACCCTAACAATCATCCCAGGAAACACGGCATCATGTAGATTTTCCAATGAAGGAGCCCCGATAAAGTCCCAACAGCTACCGGTAGTCAAGGGCTCATAAGGTGTTCCTTCGCTGCTATTCAGTTCGCTCACCACCTTCTCGAGCTGAGCTGGCGCTCTCCTGGCGAAGATTGGGGTTTGGGGCTTAGGGTAGAAGGCAAGTGCTGGCTCTAAGGTATCTGACTGTTCTCACAGGTTAGAGAAGCTGCGGGGGCTATCAAACTGAAGATGCCAGGGTATCTTTCCAAATCTTCCCACGTGGTGTAGCATACCAGAGTGGATCCAGAGCCTGAGCATGGATGTGACAATAACGGTAGTTAGTATGGTAGCGGTAGTGGTAGTGGCAGTGGCAGTGGCAGTGGCAGTGGCAGTGGCAGTGGCCGTGGCAGTGGCAGTGGCAGTGGCAGTTGCAGTGGTAGTGGTGGCAGCAGTAGCAGTAGCAGTAGTAGTGGAAGGCAACGA